GAGGCACATCGCCGGCCCCCATCCGCTTCCCTCCCGACAATTTCAAGCACTTTTTGACTCTCTTTTCAAAGTCCTTTTCATCTTTCCTCGCGGTACTTGTTTGCTATCGGCTCTCGCCCATATTTAGCCTTGGACGGAATTTACCGCCCGATTAGGGCCGCATTCCCAAACAACCCGACTCGCCGACAAGGTGCCTCGTGGTGCGACAGGGTCCGGACACGACGGGGCTCTCACCCTCCGCGCGCCCTTCCGGGGAACTTGGGCCCGGATCCGTCGGCCGAGGACGCTTCTCCGGACTACAATTCGAACGCCGAGGGCGCCCGATTCTCATCTTGGGCTCTTCCCGGTTCGCTCGCCGTTACTAGGGGAATCCTTGTTAGTTTCTTTTCCTCCGCTTATTGATATGCTTAAACTCGGCGGGTAGCCCCGCTTGACACGGGGTCGCGTTGGTGAAAGGTAGATTCGTGGAGCATGTGCATGAGCGACACGCACGACATTGATCATTGGGGTCTCATCAACCACCGAATGTCGTGGTGCTAATCGCTCCGACGCTCGATTTTGGGCCAACGGGATAAGGTCATCTCGGGAGGCCAACATACGCACCCAAGTCCCGCCCGCCCAATTCAAGGCGAGGGTTAGGGCAACGCCATGTGTGACACCCAGTGCAAACGTGCCCTCAACCGAAGCTTCGGGCGCAACTTGCGTTCAAAGACTCGATGGTTCACGGGATTACGCAATTCACACCAAGTATCGCAGTTCGCTACGTTCTTCATCGATGCGAGAGCCGAGATATCCGTTGCCGAGAGTCGTTATGAATAATAGGAGATTGCATGGCATCCCGCACACGCACCATGTCGGGGCGGCGGGAGCATCGCTTCTCTTGTTAAAGTTCCTTGGCGCATTCCGCGCCGGGGTTCGTGTGCGCCGGGAAAAGCCCGAGCGCCCGTAGGCACCCGTGCCATCCAAGCGCCGGAGACGTTGGGCGAGGCCCACCGTCCCCATTGAGTTTGTTTCTTTCTCTCGGTCATTCTCGCTAGGCGGGATTCGACAATGATCCTTCCGCAGTTCACCTACGGAAACCTTGTTACGACTTCTCCTTCCTCTAAATGATAAGGTTCGGTGGACTTCTCGCGACGTCATCGGCGGCGAACCGCCCACGTCGCCGCGATCCGAACACTTCACCGGACCATTCAATCGGTAGGAGCGACGGGCGGTGTGTACAAAGGGCGGGGACGTAGTCAACGCGAGGCGATGACTCGCGCTTACTAGGAATTCCTCGTTGAAGACCAACAATTGCAATGATCTATCCCCATCACGATGAAATTTCAAAGATTACCCGGGCCCGTCGGCCAAGGCTATAGACTCGTTGAATACATCGGTGTAGCGCGCGTGCGGCCCGTAACATCTAAGGGCATCACGCACTGTTATTGCCTCAAACTTCCTTGGCCTAAGCGGCCATAGTCCCTCTAAGAAGCTGGCCGTGGAGATGTACATCCACATAGCTAGTTAGCAGGCCGAGGTCTCGTTCGTTATCGGAATTAACCGGACAAATCGCTCCACCAACTAAGAACGGCCATGCACCACCACCCATAGAATCAAGAAAGAGCTCTCGCCTATCAATCCTTACTATGTCCGGACTCGGTAAGTTTCCCCGTGTTGAGTCAAATTAAGCCCCTGTGCTCCACTCCCGTGGTGCCCTTCCGTCAATTCCTTTAAGTTTCAGCCTTGCGACCATACTCCCGGAACCCAAAAACTTTGATTTCTCATAAGGTGCCGGCGGAGTCCTAAAAGCAACATCCGCCGATCCCTAGTCGGCATCGTTTATGGTTGAGACTAGGACGGTATCTGATCGTCTTCGAGCCCCCAACTTTCGTTCTTGATTAATGAAAACATCCTTGGCAAATGCTTTCGCAGTTGTTTTTTTTTTTTTTTTTTTTTTTTTGGTAAGGTAAGAAGTATATTGACTTTTCACAACGGAAGATACATACAAGAGTCGTACACAAAAACCTCGTACCCAATGAGATACGTAAGAGTATCCAAAGGGTACAAAGGTGTAACGATTAAGCAAGGAAGGGGAAACCCAACCGGAGTCAAGGACAAACCGGTATTACATCAACCGACGAGGGATAAAAACAAGAAGGTCGGGGGGGCTAGGGAGACCTAGAAGTGCCCTCAAAAATAGAGGGAGAAATATCCCATGCTGTTTGCAATCTTCTATTGCGGGGATGATCTTCGACACGGTGGAAAGTGAGTCCCTTATCTTTGACAACCTTGATGAGGTGTTTGATTAGGGCCGGTACAAAAAGAGATTTACTACGGAAGAGGATGTGGTTCCGTTCCGTCCAAATGATATGACAAAGCGCCCCAAAAGAGAATCGAGCCATACGGTGGTGAAAGCTCTGACCTCCAAAGTTCTGTTTAGCCCAGCGGATGGTTTCTTGCCAAGATGCATTTCGCCAAGATAGGTTGCATTTGGATGCCCAGACAAGCGCGATCGACCCCGTAATGGAGCATCCAAAGAAAAGATGATCAATGGAGTCCGGCCTACATCGACAAAAAGGACACACCCCTTCCGAGATTCTGTGAGAAGATAAAAGAAGAACCTGTGTTGGGAGGCGGTTGAGCGTTATAAGCCAAAGAAGGAAGCTATGCCTCGGCGCTAGAGACCGGTCCCACACGAAAGAATGCCAATGGACTGCTTGTCCGGCGGTTCTAAGGTTCTCCCAGCCAGAGGCAAAAGAGAAGTCCCCTGAAGGGTGCCCTTGCCATACAAACCGGTCCCTCCTGTCCTCAACAATGGTGGGGATAGCTTCCGGCCAAGCTGTGATGGAGTTCAGAACTGTTGACGATTGCCAAACTTGAGAGAAGAAATCCCAAACTGTTACATGTCTCGGAATACGGGATCGGTAGATGTCTCTATTCGAAAAAAGTTTATATAACAGACCTCTATCATGCCATGGGTCAAACCAAAAGGAAGTAGATCTCCCATTCCCAATCCGCCATTTGAAAAGCAATGAGTGATCATCTCGGATGTCTAGGATTTTCTTCCAAACCCAAGAGCAGAATGTGGGTTTCAAGGCTACCCAAAAATTCTTATTCTTCAGGAAGGTAGAGTGAATCCATTTGCACCACAAAGATTCGCTATCCGTAAATAAGATCCAGATATGCTTGAGTATGGCTGCCTGATTACAATCTAATAATCTACGGATCCCCAACCCTCCCTCATTCTTGGGAAGACAAACCTTCTCCCACGGAACTTTAGCGCCCCCCACACCCAAGTCCGATCCTTTCCACAGAAATTGTCTTAGGATCATCTCAATTTGGGACAAAACAGACTTCGGCAGGGAGAAAACAGAAGCCCAGTAGATATGAATAGCATGCAGAACTGATTTAATTAGTTGGAGCCGGCCAGCAAAAGATAAGAACCGATGGGACCAAGAGCGGGCTCTAGCCGTAATGGCATTAACCAACGCATTACAATCAGCCTTGCCAAGTCTAGATGAAATAACGGGAACGCCTAAGTATCGAAAAGGTAACATACCTTCTTGGAATCCCAAAATGCGCCGAATGTGTTGATGTAAATCCTCGGATCCTCCCGAGAAAAAGATCTCGCTTTTGTTTTGATTTGGCATTAATCCAGACCAACTTGAGAATAGGTCGAGTCCCTCCTTCAAGACATTAATAGAATCTATGTGCGCCTCGGCGAACACAAGGACATCATCGGCAAAAAAGAGGTGAGTCAGTTGCGTGGCTTTGCAACGCCAGAAATACTTGAACCCTGGGAGCTTAGTTTTAGCGTTGAAGATTCCGGTGAGTACCTCCATAGCAATGATGAAGAGGTAAGGCGATATAGGGTCTCCTTGGCGAATGCCCCTACTACTAGCAAAGTATCCATGGAGTTCACCATTAATAGCTACCGAGAACATAGGAGAACTAACACAGGCCATGATTAACTTGACAAACAAAGGAGGAAAACCGACAGCTAATAGAGCCAGTTCAAGGAATCCCCAATCAATAGTATCATAGGCTTTTTGAAAATCAATCTTGATTGCACATTTCGGTAGGTAAGAATCATGATGGAATCCCGCAAATAGCTCCTGGGCGAGCAAAATATTATCACTAATCCTCCGTCCTTTGACAAAAGCATTCTGAGTGGGGCTGATAATAGAAGGAAGCACACATGCCATTCTACTGGCAAGGATCTTGGTGATGCATTTATAAATTGTTTTGCAACACGCTATAGGCCGAAAATCATTCATGGCCGAGGCATTGGGGATCTTCGGTACCAAGGTGAGAATGGTAGAATTTATCTCTTTAAGCATATATCCATGCGCAAAGAAATCTTTAATAGCTATAGAGACAGATGGACCAACAATATCCCATGAAGCTTTAAAGAACTCCACATTGAAACCATCTGGGCCAGGGGCCTTACCTTTCGCCAGGGAAAACATGCTGTTTCGGATTTCAAGGTCTGTTACAGGGCGAGATAGAACCCGGATTTGGTTCTCATCCAAAGTGTCCCGAAACAGCTCTCGCAAGGCAGGGATTTCAGGCCTAACCACCTGAGTATTTCCATTAAGCAAAGTTCGGAAGTGCTGAACAATATGCTGTTGGAACACCTGCGGTTCAGAGAGGGTAGATCCATTATTATCCACCACCGACATAATACGATTGCAGAGATGCCTCCTGTTAACATAATGGTGGAAATACTTGGTATTTAGGTCCCCTTCCTTCAACCATTTGATCCGCGATTTCTGCCTGAAGAATGATTCTTCTTGAAGTCTCAGCTCAGAGAAGGATCGGAGCTGCTCCTTCTCTAGCTCAGCCAAGACTTGATTCCGGGGGTCAGCCTCTAAGGCTTCTTGGGTGCGAGCTAAGGCTACCCTAGCATGGGTAGTACGGGAGGAGATATCGGAGAAAGAATCTCTATTCATCTGTTTGAGCCGCCCTTTTAAGAGCTTTAGTTTCTGGCAGACCATGAACATCGGCGTCCCCACAAT